AAAAAAAAAAAAATACACACACACACGCACGCACACACAAACTTAAAATGGATCACTGTCTTACAGAGACCAATGGAACAGAATAGAGAGTCCAGAAATAAAATCATACAGCTATGACCAACTGATTTTTGACAAAGCAGACAAAAACATACACTGGGGAAAGGATGCCCTATTCAATAAATTGGGCTGGGAAAACTGGATAGCCACATGCAGAAGAAGGAAACTGGATACCGACCTCTCACTATACATAAAAATTAACCCAAGATGTATTAAAGACTTAAATGGAAGACCTGAAATCATAAAAATTCTAGAAGAAAACATAGGAAAAACTCTTCTAGACATTGGCCTAGGCAACAAATTTTTGTGGAAGACCCCAAAAGCAAATACAGCAACAACAAAAATAAATAAATGGAACTTAATTAAACTAAAAAGTTTCTGCACAGCAAAGGAAATAATCAACAGAGTAAATGGACAACCTATAGAATGGGAGAAAATATTTGCAGACTATACATCCAATGAATGGCTAATACCCAGAATCTACAAAGAACTCAAACAAATCAGCAAGAAAAAAACCAAATAACCCCATAAAAAAGTGGGCAAAAGACATGATGATTTTTCTCAAAAGAAGATAGACAAATGGCCAGCAAACATATGAAAAAATGCTCAACATCACTAATTATCAGGGAAATCCAAATTAAATCCACAATGAGATACCGCCTTAGCCACGTCAGAATTGCCATTATTAAAAAGTGAAAATACAATAGATGTTGGTGTGGTTGTGCTAAAAAGGGAACGCTTATACACTGTTGGTGGGAATGTAAACTTGTACAATCACTGTGGAAAGCAGTAAGGAGATTCCTCAAGGAACTAAAGAAGTAGATGTACCATTTGATCCAGCAATCCCACTACTGGCTATCTACCCAAAAGAAGTCATTTTATCAGAAAGACACCTGTACCAAAGTGTTTATCACAGCACAATTCACCATTGCAAAAATATGGATCAACCTAAATGCCCATCAGCTGACGAGTGGATAAAGGAAATGTAGTATGTATATACCATGGAATACTACTTAGCCATAAAAAGGAATGAAATAATGTCTTTTGTCGCAACTTGGATGGAACTGGAGACCATTATCCTAGGTGAAGTATTTCAGGAATGGAAACACAGATACCACATGTTCTCACTTATAAGTGGGAGCTAAACGAAGGATATATATGGTCATAAAGATTTGTAATGAACATTGGAAACTAAGAAGGGGGAAGGGTAGGAGGGGTTGAGGGATAAAAATCTACCTATCGAGTACAATGTACACTATTGTGGTGATGGGTACACTGAAAGCCCTGACTTCTGCATGATACAATTTATCCATATAACAAAAAACAATGGTGCCCCTAAATTCTTTGAAATTAAAAAAAAGGATCATTGTCTTCAATGTAAAAAGTAAAACAATAAAACTTCTAGAAGAAAACAAAGGAGAATAATTTCATGAATTTGGAGTAGCCCAAGTTTCTTAAACAGGACACAAAAAATACTAACCATAAAAGAAAAATGCTAAACTGGACTTGATTAAATTAAGAACTTCTATTCATCAATACACCACTATGAGAATGAAAAGACAGAACACAAACTGTAAGGAGATACTTGCAATACAGTTGTCTCCCCTTATCTGCGGGGGATATCCAAGACCCTCAGTGGATGCCTGAAACCTCTGATAGTACTGAGCCTTATATACGCTATGTTTTTTTGATCTGATAACTCAGATGGGACATGCTAGATGAGGAGATGATTCACATCCAGGCAGGAATGGAGCAGGACAGCTTGAGATTTTATCACAATACTCAGAACAGTGTTCAATTTAAAATTGATGAATTGCTTGTTTCTGGAATTTTCCATTTAATATTTTGAGCCATGGTTGACCACAGGTAAGTTAAACCACAGAAAGTGAAACCGCAGATAAGGGAGGACTAATGTATGTACATCTGACAAAGGACTCATATCCTCACTATATAATAAAATCCTGTAAATCAGCAAAAGACAAATAACCCAACCTAAAAAAATAGTCAAAAGATCTAATAGGCACTTCACAAATGAGGATATCCAAATGGCCAATAAGCACACGAAAAGGTTCTCGTCATCATTAATCACTGGGAAAATACAAATTAAAACCATAGTATCACTACACTCTCCCAAGAATGTCTAAAATGAAAAAGACTGGTAATACCAAACAGTGAATATATAGAACAACCAGTATTGTCATACATTGCTGGTGAGACTGCAAATTGATATAATCAGTTAGGCAATATCTACTAAAGCTTAACATACACCTCCCCAATGACCCAGCAATTCCATCTCTAGGCATATACACAATAGAAATAAGTGTGTATGTCTATCAAAAGACATATACAAGAATGCTCACAGAGGTTTTATTCATAATAGCCCCAAACTGGAAATAACCCAAATATCCATTAAAAGGAAAATGGAAAAATTGTAGACTACAAAAGAATACTATGTAACATACAAGTGAACAAACTACCAACACATGCAACAAAATGCATGAACCTCTCAGATACTATGTTGAGCAAAAAGCCAAACTTGTGTGATTCCATTTATATTAAGTTCAAAAACAGATAATACTAACCAAATGTTCAGAATAGTAGTTACTTCTGAGGGGGAGTGATGTGCACATTGACTAGGAAGTAGCAACAAGAAAACTTCCAGCCCGCCTGGCCTGGGTGCACCTTGGAAACGTGGGTCACATGTGCACGAGGTGAAGGGGACTGGGACATGTTCACATTGTGCCCCACCTTCTCCCTCGGTTGTGTAACTCACCCTTCTGCATGTGTTTTATTAGACCCTGTGCTCTACAGAAAAAAAAAAAAAAAAGAACACTTCCAAAGTTCTGGAAATGTTTGTATCTTGATCACTATGGTGTTTACATCAGCATTTACACAGGCAAAATTCAGATCAGTATATTTTACATATTAATGTATGTTATACCTCAATCTTAAAAAAGACAAATTTAATATGTATTATTTTGCTTAAGTCATTCCCATTCTCTGGCTTCAATTTCTTCCTCTATTAAATGAAAGGATTAAATTATAACCCTTGTTTCCATTGTTAATGGCAATTCTCACCCTATACTATATTGCCTGTTTATCTCTCTACATCGTTTCATTGGACTGAGTGCCTTTATCTCTGTAATTCTGAGAAATAATAAGCATTCCATGAGTATCTACTGGATGAATAGAAATAGATGAACATACAAGAACATATGATTTTGACTTCATGAAATAGTAGCGTGGCAAATGAATGGACCGTAAGTGCAATGAGAATTAAGAAGAGGGAAAGCTGGAGTACTCAACGCCATGACTTGAGCGGGATCCTGAACAATGCTAATAAATCATGCGCAAAGCAAAGCCCAATTTCTCTCTGCTGCTATCTCTTGCTGCTTCCTCAGGACCTTAGCATCACTCTTAGCACCACATTCTAGGCAAGTTTTTTTCAGTCTTTTTCAAGGCACATGCCATAACACAGAAAATGAAAAGTGTACAGTACACCGAAATAAAAGTACTGTAAAGATAAAAATCCCAGCACTTATATAACTCTTGAAACATGGTGGATTGTAGCCAATGCTACAACACAGTTCAGTTCTTGGGTAATTACATAAGAAATCTTACAGAATATCAATTCTACCTTGCTTTCTATAATCAGAAGTTTAACTTCAGTTTTTGCTGTTTTTCACTTTCTGTTCCACAGCCATGCAGTACATATCTAGAAACCTTTATGGAATCATGAATACGAATTAATTAGTACAAATGAACAACTTTTTGTCCTGACTGTAGAATGCCTCAAGTTGAGAAAGGAACAAAAGAAAACCACTAGAAAGCAGAAAGGATGAGATCAGAACCATTACAAGTGGCTGGAATTTGCAGTTTAGCTGTCAGCATGAATATCAAGACATGCAGCCAGCCCCAGACTCTTCTCACTCTTCCTACCTCTGGCTGATAAAAAGGGGTAGTAGATAACACAGCTCTAGACTGTGCTCATCTATTCATACAGTATAGGATAGACTCAGGAACACAAGTACTTCATGTTAGAGGTAGTGCTGAAGAATTGCCTTGTCAATCACACTATATTTTAGGTACCCAAGGAAAGAGTATTATTATTGACCCCAGGGGTGAATTCTTCTATAAGAGAACAATTTGCAATGATCGATCAGCCCTTAATTTACTTCAATCAATAAATATGTTTTGGGTATCTACTTTTTGCCAAGAAATCGTAGCAGGTCACATATCCAAGAATATAGACTCATGGAATCTACGGATTAGAAGGAATCTTAAAGGTTTACTATCCAGTCCCTTCATCTGATATTTGAATGTCATCTATTCCATGCCAGTAAAGATACCTCCAGTCTCGATTTGAGCACTTCTAGTAATGGGAAGCTCGCTAAGTCTAAAAGTAAACCCTTCCACTTTTGGCAACTCCACCTGTTGAAAGTTCTTCCTTAACAAACACTGAAACGCGCCCCTTTCATCAACTAGTCCTAGATACGTAGGCCAGAATCACGACCTAGCCTAATTCCTCTTTCTGGGAGCGCTGAGGCGCTGACAGGCACGGGCTGGCACCTCCCGGCGTGGGTGGCCGCATCCCCAAGCGCAAAACCCAATCTGGGCAGCCGAGGCGCAGTGAGCAGAGCCCGGGGCCGGGATTCAGGAGGCCTGGGTTCTACCGCAGAATCTCTCTGCGGTCGTGGACAGGATTCTTCGACAAGGCCCGCCGGGTGGATTCCCTGCCGGGACCCGGGACTCAGCCCGCGCAAGCCCGTCTGGGGACTAGGGAGACCGGGAGAGGGAAGGGGCAGGCGCCGCCGGGGCCCAAACCTCCAGTAGCCGCAGCCGCCGTCGCCGGGTAGGGCCGGGCAGCCAGCCGGGCCTGGCGCAGCATCAGCGCCCGCTGCCGCTTCCGCTCGATGCTCGCCCGCACCGAGGCAGGCAGCTCAGCGGGTTGTTCTGAAGCGGCTGGCTCCAGCGAGGACCCCTCGGCCGCCGCCATCTCCAACCCCCTTAAAGGACGGCAGCCCTTTGCTCCGCGCACGCGCACTGCGCGCCGAAGCCTGTCCTGGGCTGGGTCGCGTCACCAGCCCCGCCTTTGTGCTCCCAGCGCCGAGCGGCCTCCGGGAGTGAGCACGCCTGCGCAGCTAAGGGGGCGGGGTGAAAGGGAAGGGGCGGAGTCTGAGCATGCGCGGAAGGCGGGGCTACCTACCTGTCTGCTCACCTTCAACCTGGGAGGAGGGTTGGTACTCAGCTCATTTTTCAGAACCTGGTTGTCTTTAGAATGTTTCACTTGGTAGTTCAGAATATGGGCTTTGGAGTCAGACGCGGGTTAAGTCCCTACCTCTCACAAAATCTGTGTGACCTTGGGCAAGTTATTTACCTTGAGTTCAGTTTCTTCAGTGGTAAAATGAGAATGATTATGGAACCACTTCCTAAGTCATTGGGAAGATGAGATGTGCCAGCACAATGTCAGGCATAGAAAGCTTCAAAAAATGAGAGCAGCTAGTAGTAGTAGTGCCAATCACAGAGACCAATAGATAATTGATCTGATTATATTTTGGACACGTGACCTAGATTTGAAATGAGAAGACATGTTATGTGTTTAACACATTAACTGCCCTGGGAGTTGTATTTAACTGACGCTAATTTTGAGCCCAGGACCTCATGAAGCATATGTAACTCAGGTCTCTTCATCTTGGGAGCCATGTGAACTATTTTTCAAGTTGCTGTAACTCACGCACAGAAAACAATAAAATACAACAAATTTTTCATTAAATTAGAAAGGATCGTTTTGTTTTTAAAGTTTTTATTCTATTTTCATAATAAAACACCATGGTCCCAAAGAAAAATTTTTTTTCTAGTGCAGCAGTCAATTTGTTAAACTCTCACTTATGTGCTGTGTGACCTCAGGCAAATGCAGCATATGGTCCAAGACTGATAAGCAGGAAGTTGGCTATCTTTTCCATGGAATATTCCCTCAGCATGGATGAGCTGCTGCCAGGTAGACAGCAGGTTTTCCTTTGGGCCAAATATCCTGACTTCCTGAAAGTGTGGCAAGTAGAGCAAAAGAAGTATCACATCCTTTCCAAAAATGTATGCTTTTGCTTTGTTACAAATAAAACTTAATTGAAACCAGAAAACATTAAATTCTAATTACTACATATACCATTTAGGACTAGTTTTTAGAAAGACCAACCTGACACACTGAAGTTTCCCACTAATATTCAGTAGTTAAAGTTTGAGAAGCACAATCCAGTCATTTTCATCTGTTGATCACATGTGCATAAAACCGCAGAACCTTGTATAAAGCAGATACATGTTGCCATCCTCTGGTTGAACTGGAGATTGAAACCTCATGCCATCCCCACCTCCTTCCCCCTCAGATCTCTCTTTCTCCCTATCCATCGTTCTTGTCTAGGTGAAATATCTCAAATTCCAAGACACCAACAGCACAGACATCAAAAGAAAACATAAATAAATTGGGCTTCATTAAAATTAAAAACTTTTGTACATCAAAGAACAATATCAAGAAAGTGAAAAATCCCACAGAATGGGAGAAAATATTTACCAATCAGGTATCTGATGAGTCAGTGTCCACAAGATATAATGAACACTTTCCATTTAACAACAAAAAGACAAACAACATAATTTTAAAATGACCAAAGGACTTAGACAATTTTTCAAAGAAGATGTGTGCCAACAAGCACATGAAAAGATATTCGTCATTAGTCATTAGGGAAATGCAAATCAAAGACACAGTGAGATACCATCTCACACCCACTGGATAGCTAGAGTTTAAAAAAAAGTGGAAAATAACTAGGGTTGGTGAGAATGTGGAGGAATTGCAACCTTCATATTAATACATTGTTGGTGAGAATGTAAATTAATGCAACTGCTGTGGAAAACAGTTTGTTCCCCAAAAAGTTAAATGTGGGATTACCATATGAGTCAGCAATTCCACTCATGGGTATATTCCCAAAGAACTAGAAACAGGTGTTCAAACAAAAACTTGCACATGAATGTTCACAGCAGCACTATTTACAATAACCAAAAGCTGGAAACAACCCAAGTGTCCATCAACTGATGAATGGATAAACAAAATGCAGTATAACCCTACAAAGGAATATTATTCAGCCATAAAAAAGAATGGAGTACAGATGCATGCTACAACTTGAATGAACCTTGAAAACATTACACTAAATGAAAGAAGCCAGGCACAAAAGGCCACATATTGTATGATTCCATTTATGAAATATTCAGACTAAGCAAACCCAGGAAGATTCCCAGATTAGTGGCTGCCAGGGGCTGAGAGGAGGGGAAAATGGGGAGTGACTGCTTCATAGATAGGGGGTTTCCTTTTGAGATGATGAAAATGTTCTGGAACTAGGTAATGGTGATGATTGCACAACATTGTGAGTATATTACAGGTCACTAATGGTAAATTTTATTTTATGTGTATTTCACCACAATTTTTTTAAAACCCTCGAATTCTGAGTAGGCTCAGGAAAGCAATGGAAGTGAATGAACCTAGCCAAGTGTAGAACTCAGGCAAACTGGCTCCTGGAGGTTCCTCTTTAAGGGAGCAGCTACTACACAATGCCAGCTGGTAGTTTCAGAGAGAATTTGGCCTGTTGTTGCCAAATTGTCCAATCTTTCAAGAAAAGTAAAAATTGAATTTTAATGCACGTACAAGTCTCTTGCTGACCTTGTTGAAATGCATATTCTGATTCGGTAGGTATATGGTAAGACCCGAGAATGTGCATTTCTAACGCGCCCCCTGGTGGTGCTGCAGCACTACAGACCACACATTGAATAGTACGGGTCAGATCGCAGGTTCCCAAACTTAGCTGAATATTGAAAGCACCTGAAGAGTTTAAAAACACTGGTACTTAGGCCCCACGCCCAGAGATTCTGATGTCATGGGTCAGAGGTGGGATCTGAGTGCCAAGATTCTGTAAAGACCCCTCCCTCCCTCCAGTAATTCTAACGGGCAGCAAACTTTGAGAGCCAGCACTCTAGATGACCTCTACAGACTCCGGCTCTGAGCCTCTGAGGCTGTGAAGTATTTCTGGAGGAAAAGGTAACAATTTCCCCCGAAGTGACCTTTTAAGAATAATTAGTTCCCAGATCCACCTCCCCAACAAAGCATTCCAAGCCTGAATGCTGGAGGATGTGGCCCATAGCTGAGATGCTGTTCAGGCCCTGGTGTTTTGTAACTCTTCACAACTTGTGGCCTTCTTTTGCCGGTAACTCCCTCTTCTTTGGTGTACTGACCTTTGTTAGCAAGTTTCGTGTACCTGGGTCTGAATTGTTAGCTGACGCCTCAACCAAGCTAAAATGAGACTCCTTCTTTAGAGAAAGGAAGAGTGCGTGCCCTGATCTGCATGTCCCACGGAGTGACAGAGGCTGTAGGGCTTGCCCAAAGCAAAGCACATGAGTCATTTTGGTGGGGGCACAAAAGAAAAACAGGCAAGGAACATAGACCAGTGAACGTGTTCTTGCCTCTCCCAGGTCTCAGTCTCGGGGCAAATCTGTGACTATATCTGTCTTCCTGCTTGGTACCTCTCTCGTCTCCCAGACCAACTGTGATCCTGGCTAAAAGAGAGTTACTTAACAAAGCATGGAAAGAATTGAAAGCCCTAACTGAAGCCTAACAAGGAGCAGGCAGATAAGAATGGACGAGGTCTGGGAGGCCGAGGCGGGCGGATTGTTTGAGCTCAGGAGTTCGAAACCAGCCTGAGCAAGAGCGAGACCCCGTCTCTACTAAAATTAGAAAGACATTAATTGGACAACTAAAAATATATAGAAAAAATTAGCCAGGCATGGTGGCACATGCCTGTAGTCCCAGCTACTCGAGAGGCTGAGGCAGGAGGATCGCTTGAGCCCAGGAGTTTGAGGTTGCTGTGAGCTAGGATGACGCCACGGCACTCTAGCCCGGGCAACACGGTGAGACTCTGTCTCAAAAAAAAAAAAAAAAAAAAGAATGGATGAGGAACGAGAAACTTGGTGGGGTTTCCTGACAGGGCTTCCTCTCTAAGTGCGTTACTGGGATTACTCACGCCCATGACAGAGTGTGAACACATTTGTCTTTTTCTAGTACATAGTACCTGTGTGTGGCTTTCTTTTTTATTTTTCCCCTGATTCCCTGGGGCTTTACCCCTTAATGTGGTCACTTTGAACATCACTGGCATCAATTCACAATAGGGGAACATCTGTGGGAAGAAACATGCCAAGAGGGGAACCTTTCTGGAGAGAAGGAGGAACAACACAGAAATTATGCCCGATCCTGTTGCCTTAGGCTGTATTGATTTAGTAATCCAGGAAATGTGGTCTCTTTTCACTACAATTGACCAGACAAAACCTCCTTCTGGAGAAACTTAGATTTCAACCTCCCTGAACCAAAAGATAAAGGGATTGAGACAAAAACATCATAGTGGAGCTTCGATCAACAAAATGTGTGTTCAGAAAGATTTAGGGAACATTTTGAGTACTCACGGGAATTGTCTTTCCAAAAGCAGTAAGGAGTGGGAGGGTCTTAATGAGTCAACTAAGGACAGGGCCTAGGAAAAAAAATGACTATCAGTTCTGGAAGTCAAAATCCTTCATCACTCACAGAGCAGCAAAGCCAGGTCTTCCCTACTCTGCATCCCCCAGGTCCCAAATATGGCCAGAGGACCTTGGTTTTCATTGCCTCTTCCAGGAAGTCTGCCCTGACTCCCTCTCTGGCTGCCTCTGAACTTCCTATGTGTTGGTGTTGTGGGCACGGAAGTGATAGCTCCTGCCATCCTCATGGATTACCAGGTCCTGGAGAGCTAAGCCTGTCTGATTGATCCTAGTATCTCCAGGGCTTAGCATAGTATCTGGCACAGAGTAGCTGCCCAGCAAATGTTTGTGGAATTAAATAAATCGAAGGAATGATAGTGAATAAAACCAGTTGCATGTCTCTCCAGCACTGAAAACTCAAGGTCCAAAGCTGAACCCTACAATGACATCTCTGCTTATGCACCTGGGATGACAGGGAACACTCTACTTTAGAACAGCCTATTCCAGTGTTGTCTAGCTTTGGCCACTATTTATTGTAATAATAACAATAATAACAAAAACTTGTATGGGGCTTACT